GTATACTGTATGGCAAAAGAAGTGTCGCAATTAATAGTCGAAAAGTTCTTCATCAAATGCAGTAGTTTGACAGTACACAAATTCGAAGCAGCTAAAGTTTAGTCAAAATCATCTCAAAGGTTTGGGGTCTGTTTTTAAAACAAGTCTCTTATGCTCACCAAGGCTGCATTTATTTGATCAAATATACAGTAAAATAGCAATATTTTAAAATATTATTACAATTAAAAATAATGGTTTTCAATTTTAATATATTTGAAAAGGGATTTATCGTTGTGATGAAAAATCTGAATTTTTGTCAGCCATGAATCCAGTCTGATTGACTGCTTAATATTGAATATTAATGGCTTAATATTTGTGTGAAATTATGAAACTTTTTAAAATAATTCTTTGATGAATAGAAAGTTTAAAAAACAGACTGAAATAAAAAATATTTTGTAACAAAAGTCACTTTTGATTAACTGAATGCATCCTTGCTGAATTTAATACTTTACAAGTATTCATTTCTTTAAAACAAATCGTACTGACCCCAAGCGTTTGAATGGTAATGTATATATTTGTAAACAGTTATTAAATGAACATTTTAAATGTAATTTTAATTTAAAACATTAATTATAATAACATTTAAAATTACAAAATTAATTAAAATGCTTATTTCTACTATAAAAAAAACCCTTGGTCCAAATTATGAAGACATGTATATGAGAGAGGAGAGAGAGAGAGAGACAGAAAGAAAGGATTTCGTGCCTATACGCTTCTGATACTGATACTTGATGATTGTAGCCAAAGGGTAAATACTTGCACAAGGTCATGACTTGAACGTTTTGATCTACATTTTCAACACAGACTCAGAGCTGGAGAGAGATGAAGAAATGATTCTGCATGACACATCAGACCCAGACAGATGAAAGGTGAACTAGACTACTGTACCTGTACTAAATGTCTCAACTGTGCCTATGTTTCACTGCATCACAGACCACACTTCATTACTTTATACACTCGTATCAAGGGGCTCTGACACAATTCATCTGCACTGATATCTCACATTCTGCTTAAATATAATAATCAATGTACAAAGAGCTTACTTAGTCCGATAAGAAATCTGGATTATCCCTAAAGCATCTCTAAACCAGCATTGTGCATTGTATAAAATTAACAGTATTTTTAGTACATGACTTTAAATTCCCATCATAAGGAAATAAATACTTCCTCTCATCCTTCTGATGAAATTTTCCAAACTTGCATAGTCTTAAAATATCTTTCAAGCAAAATGAATAGAAGCACGCCTCACAATATGACACCTCGATGACAGGCTGTGCTGTTTTATTAAAACTTCTCACCTGACTGGGGTCATATCTTGAGTAAGAAAAACAAAATGCAAATATGATAAAGGGAAGTTTCCAGCAAAAGCCGGCTGCATCCCCCTCATGTCATGCGAGTTAAAAATAACAGCAATGATCTGAAAGCTGTTTGAAACAGAAGGTCGCTGATCAGAAAGCAGGACCTCCCAGGTGGTCAAACACCTGAACAACTGCCTTTTCGCTCTGTCATTAACAATGACATCTGTGAGAAGCATGTGAACTTTATCGGAACGCTTTTGTTCACGTTGTGACTTGATGTGGTCACAAACTCACAAGCTCACAATCCGTTTCATGTGCTGCATAACGTTACGCTAGTATTAAACAGAGGGTGTATTAAACGCTAGTATTAAGCAGTGTTGTAATTTCATTACCGGACTGGATACTTTACATAATAACATGCATTTGAAAAAATGACCACAAAACAAAGTTTAAAGGCCAGTTGCCATGCAAGGTGCTAACTTGCTTGTGCTGTTTAATGTGTGAGAGATGCCTTCTTCAGCTCATTACTTATGTCTTACTATTATATTCTATGTTGTGCAAATGCTAAAAACTAAAAATCACAGACATATTTCCATTTTGCAAAACGGTTTGTCTTAACAGTGAGCAATTTGGCATTTAACTTCATGCAACAGAGAAAGAAGTGCTGTAATTTTGAGTAAAACTTGTATTTAGAGAATAGTTGGTGAGTGTCAAACTGAAACTACCGTTCAAACGTTTGGGGTCGTAAAATTTGTTCATGTTTTTGAAAGGAGTTTCTTATGCTCTCTATTTTAATATATTTAAGATAATTTATTCCTGTGATTGCAAAGTTGTACTTTCAGTAGCCATTACTCCTGTCTTCAGGGTCACATGATCCTTCAGAAATCATTTCTTATTATCAATGCTAAAAACATTTGTGCTATGTAATATTTTTGTGGAAACTGTGATGCATTTGTTCAGGATTCTTTGATGAACAGAAAGTTCAAAAGAACAGCATTTATTTGAAATCTTTTAAGATTATAAATGCCTTTGCTGTCACTTTTGGTCAATTTAATCCATCTTTGCGGAATAAAAGTATTAATTTATTTAAAACTTTTGATCAGTAATGTACACTAGAAATTATATTTTAGAAGAAGTAACTAATAGGATTATAAAAGACTTTACAGTAATAAGTACATTTCATAAATAATAAAATACTACAGCTCTTTAAAAGAACGGTTCACTTTTAAAATTCCTTACAGTATAAAATAAAAAATAAATGTAACAAAATGCAATAAAAATGGTCAGTAAGAAATCTGAATGGATGATACACACACACACACACACATA